AGTTGCATGTACTAAATGAATTTAATCACACTATTAAGAATGAAATTTTGTGAAAAATTTTAACTTTTATATGAAAATAGGACAAAATTAAGAATAAATAATTAAGTTTATGAAGCTTCCTGAAGGACACAGAATATATTTACCTCACTATACAGAATAACCTAAACAATTTATAATTTATGTTAATACTTACCAATTTTAAGACTGGCGCCAACTGATATATTTGGCGACAATACATCAGAATCAAAATACAGCATAGACCTTTAATACACTATTCGTACAGTAAAATTTAAATAAAAAAACGCCTATTACAATCCCAACCGAGACAAAGTTTACATGAAATATAGAATACAATTTTACAAACAGTATAAACTATTAGCAACAGTAAAAAACAGTATTGGCGATATTTTGCTGCACAAATGCACACACATTCCACAATTGATTTTATATTTGTAAAATCATTTCAGCGTCAATAAGTGACAGCTAAATGAAAGTACACATTTTGAAAAAAAAAATAATAAGGGAATTTTTCTCATATGCTATGGAAAAAATACGAAGCTGCACTTACTTCACAAAAACACGCTCCTGCGACCGAAATCCATTGATCTCGACCAGAAAGAATTACTTCTTCTTCGTCTTTTTTCATTTTTTGCGAAACAAAACATCCTAAAGTTATTTCTAGAATGATTTGACAATTTGGTGCAGCACATCTATCCATATTTCTCAAAATCAGGTCGAAACGATCAACAAAGCAATGCTGAACTAATAGCGAGTAGCAATAAAGTCAGAATAATAGAAATACTAAAATACCTGTTTATGGCATTTACTTATGAAATTAGCTGCGTAGCAGCGGGAATGATTGACATCCTTCACTACATTCACCAATTTTATCTGGCTGAGCAGTTTTAATACAATCATAAACAAAGCTTTCGTCTTATCCGTACGCTACACGGCAGCCATGCTGGCTCATCAGTCGTGACGTCACGCTGTCGATCCTTCCTCGGCTTCAATTTTGTGACGTCATGCTTACTCCATCTATTCTAACCTCCTTGGTCGCATATATCTGCAAACCTCCATTCTTTTTACAATTTAATATCTGTGTTGCCAAAATATTAAAACTTAAAATTATGCTTTATATACAAATACTATCAAACCTGGTACGCTGCTTCGTCCTATTCAGCGTGTCTTTCCATTGGAAGTGCAATTAACGGACACCCCCACTGATCCCATAAACGATAACTCTTTTACTAATTATATTTCTTCTATTTCTAGTGATGAGCATTCAGATTCTAATGACTCTAGTAACATCCTGCAAGGTACAAAATTGTCAAGATCGGGACGTGTGATCAAGGTGCCTCAGAAATTAATGCTAAACGAATTAAGTGGATTTAAAACACAGTAAAAAACTAATCAATTGATAGAGGTAAAAATAAAAATAGTAAGCTATATGCTAAACGGATTAAGTAGATTTAAAACACAGTAAAATACTAATCAATTGATCGAGGTTTTGACCACATAGGTCTCTTCGACCAGGTAATGTATGTCTTTGAGCCAACCTGAAGTCGACTCAAAGAGGCGGAGAATATTGGAGACGGCTGCTGCAGACAGACGATTACGTAACGGCTGGGCGAAGTCGACAGAAGGAGCTCCGCATTTGATTGGACTATGTTTTATTAATCTCATTTTTTCTTTAACTGCAAACTAAGCGGGAAAATTCCCTTTTCACTCAGTTATATGTATGCATTTGATAGGGTAATGTAACGTTTTTCGGCTTGTGTGAGGTATCCAAATTAAATCTTTATATTAATAACCCTGCTGTGATTATTAAATTTGTAACCTGCACGTTGTAGCCCTGAGAGTTGCAAGAAAGGAAAAAAGAATAACAATCACGTGATCTATGAGTAACAACCAGACAGTTCACTGCTTACTATAAATAGAATGGAATATATGGTTTTCCTATGTATACGATCTAGTTTCTCATAGAAAGTTCTCCCTTTCCTTAGAGAGCCTTCGAGTGCTTTGCTATAGTTAAATATACCATACCATACCACAGAAAGGACTATAATCTTTTTACAGTAGCTAGAAAAAATATATTGTAAAAGGAACCAAGTAAAACTTGACGCACATACCTTGGTCAACGTGAAGATGAAGAAGTGTTGTTAATCATGTCTGAAAAGCACAACATACAATATATAATATTTCGCACCAACATTAGCACGCATGCGAATTGAGTTGTTAGATCCATCATTTCGCATGATGTCGGATCCGTCACACAGACACTGGTATAGACCTTGCAAATCAAAGATGTGCGTTTGAGTGTTTGCCATCAGTGTCTGAGATGGAATTAACACTCGAACACGAAATTTTCGATTTTATCCGTTTAGTGCACTGTCTGTGAGTTTTTCACTAAAGGGATCGTACAAATTTTGGTTTCGTTCATTCGCTCTCCCAACACTGTTGTAAGTTCAGCTTGGAATTCTAATAGTCCTCTTTTCTGCCTCTCAGAGTGGAATGCGACCCTATGTTCTATGGTAATTATTGCTAATTTGGATAAGTACTATCACCCTTTTTAATTTGTAAAAACAGTTTAGAATCGCCCGTATATATATATATATATATATATATATAATATATATAATTAGAAGATAAATTTTAGTACGCACGCTAAAAAGTTACCAAAAATTGTGGCTTCCTGAGAACTTTAACATAAGCATATTTAGTTGCTATGAAATGTCTGAAAAAGGAGAAATATACAACATTTGAATATTTACAAGTAAAATTAATAAAAATAGTAAGCTATATGCTAAACGAATTAAGTAGATTTAAAACACAGTAAAAAACTAATCAATTGATCGAGGTAAAAATAAAAATAGTAAGCTATATGCTAAACGGATTAAGTAGATTTAAAACACAGTAAAATACTATTCAATTGATCGAGGTTTTGACCACATAGGTCTCTTTTCTTTTGTTCTTATTACTTAACTCTTATAACTTATATATATATATAAAATATAGATAGCTATAAAAACTGCATTAGAAAGAAGTTGTAAAATGAGTTTAAACTAATTGATTATGGCAAAGCACTCAACAATTATTTGGATGAGAGATGCCTTTGTGGAAAATATGAGTTCAAATAAATTTAAAAAGGAATTTTATAACAGTAAATAAAAGATGGAATATCAAACAGAAATACATTAGAAAATGCATGTGAAATAATGTTAAGTAAACTGGTTATTAAGCGTTTCAGAAGCCTACAGTATTAATATTAACATCAACACAGTATCTACAGTATTAACATCAACACGTGAACAAACAACGTCTATTTTGAAGAAAGAACATATGTTTCCGCATAAGCTTTAGTTCCGAGTAAATGAATTTCGCCTTTCTCGGTTTATCTGAATCCTTGCAATCTTTTGCATCACTAAGACGGAGCGTTCAGATAAGTAGAACTTCTTTTCTCTAAGCTAAATCAAATATCTGTCACTAAAGTACCTTTAAATTCATTCATTTATTATGATCATTATTATTATTATTCTCATTTTATTATGTTCTGGCATTAAATACTTAGTAATTGCTTTAAATCATGTGGTTCTTTTTGGTTACCATCTCGTAGGGACGCTATCCTTATCAGTAGCCCTTATCAGTAGTGTTAGCCCTACCCATTGGGGCCCCTTTGAGGAATGTCTCGAGAGCTAAAAACACGATCTCGGGCCTCAATGAATGTACAGAGTTGTAGTTTTTGCTCCTTTAATCTATATTTGCTATCTATTTAAATTAAAAGCATGTATTAACAGTGTGGCCTCAATGATAAAATAGTACACATATAATAATTATGACCATTAACTTAACTAAATAAATAAAATGCTTATTTTTTTAAAAATTAATTAATAATAATAATAAAAAACTCCGTAATTTATTTACTTTTATTTTGCTTATATGTTCTCGCCTTGTTTTGGATTTATGATTTATCTGATGCTGTTTTCTGAATATATAAAATGTTGGAAACCGCAATAGATGATGTTACTTAGTTAATGTATAACTTGCGTGATATTATATGTATCTTGATCTTATGTCTTCTGTTACTGTGTCTCAAAGTAGAGGCAAATTGGTTTCCATGTAAAAAAATAAAAGTTTAAATTTAAAAATTTTAATTTTAGTTTCCCTGTTATAGCAAAAGTTAGCTTCTAAACTTGACTTATACTGTTATGTGACGGACCCCCAAAATTTATTATTTTATATTAATTTTCCCCATCTTACCTCTATTCAGCTTTCAAACACATTTACCACACCTGGAAGACTGTATTTAATGTAAATGATAACAACTTTGTTTACACTCATGAACACAATCGTGTTTTTTTTTTTTTTCTTAACAAAATTCTCTTACTTCCTTTCCTTTTCTTTCTATAGGCCCTTTTTTTTTAATTATAAATAATTTTTTTTTTCCTCTCCTTACTTTTGGGCCATTATTTTTACTTTATTTTGTCCCATCTTTTCTTCCTGGCCTTTCGAACTCGTATAAAATATACGAAGTTCCTTTTTACTCTCCTCTGAAATACGAAATTGCCCCCCTTTCTATATACCTTCCTTCGCCCTATGCTTGATTTTCGCCATCGGTGCAAAAACGTAGCGGGTGCAACAAAAGACATCTGTCTACTTTGTCTGTCTGTCTGTCTGTTTATCTGAATAACAAATCAGTAATTCTTAATGCATCTTTTGGACTATGAATACTTCTAAACATTTAATTTTTGTATATGGAAAGAAGAACATACACACACAATTCGCGCTGGCAATTTTATCATTAAAATTATTCTTTATTATTAAATATAGCGATATTCGTCGCTACTAAAAAACAAGAGATTTAATTATAAATAAAACGTTAAGCCAAAAATATGGGGCGGAATTGAAAACTTAAAATTCGATAATATATCTTGAAAAACTGCGAAACTTCGTAGAGAAACATTATACCGGAAGTAGAATTAACAGTTCCGGTTGAATCCTTGTTTGTTGTTGTTTACATCGAAAACTCATCAGTTCATGCTTGGCAGTTCAGAATTGTTTTCCCTATCCGATTTCCTTCGACAGGGAAAACAGTTTTCGCCGCATACAATAAATCGCCAAACTTAGCCAAGTCAAAGAATACACGTTCTCTGGCCAAGTGCCGCTTACTGCAAATTTGCCGTAAGGGCAGGTAGCGTGAAAGAAATTTGTCCAGTTTACGGAAGGGTTAATTCATGTCTCAAAAATGAAAACTTTTACTTACGCGCCAGATGTGTGGAAATGTCTGAATGGTATATTTTGCGTATATAAACCAGCCCATTTGCCTACTGCTCATGTTCGCAACACTCTGAAAATTGTACTGTGCCGAGGTAATATGAAAAATTATTATTTTTTTATTTATTTGTCCGTTTTAAGTAAGTTATATGTTAACTATTTTGATTTTAAAAATCAGAATGTATTTTGCAAAGAGACAATATTTACAGTTGCCTGGCTTCATTTGGATTGGACTATCTCTGTCTTCAGAATGATTAGGTTAAACTTGGAATTAGTCGGGCAATTAGGGATGAAGGATATAACCTATGCAAGGATCAAGCAATATGTATTTTAATATTTGATATTTATTTTCACCGAAATCACTGAAGAAAATGTATGCAAAAGTGAATCCTGTGCTGCAAGCAATCATGAAAAATTTTGAATCTGGGAGTATTTAAATGTTACTTGGTCATCTACTTTGTGAAAATGGAAACTGCCATGAGCATAATAAAATAACTATAAATCGTTTTCAAAAAGGAATTTAAAAGAAGTGTCAGATATATGGTAACAGAAGAGGTAAAAGCTTGAAAATGCAACTGAGAACAAATGTTTGTAAACTGAGAGCAAACATGAGGTTTTGTGCAAGTGATAATTTTCATCTCCCATAGTTGGGTCTGTCTCATTCTGAAAAATCTGCAGATGCTCTTTTCCATGGGAAGATAATAACGATGGACGTGGTTGGGCCATTTATCTTAGTATTTGGTAAAAGTCATTATAAGCCCAATATAATGAAGCACATTTAAGAACATAAGCAATGATTGCCTTTTCACTGTTCTATTTTTTATTGGAAGTGGAACTTTCAGCTGATGTGATGGCAGGTCCAGGTTGATCACTTCTAATACTTTCAGAAATGAAAATTTTGGTTTAATCCTAGTATCCGGTGCACACGGGATTTGGCTACTTTTGGCGACTTTATGATGAGCAGTAAAAATGGGACATGTACGATGAGTAGTAAACAGGTCATTCAAAGAATATATATAGTATATATTATATAGACGTTCTTTGGATCATTTTTTGGTGTTGGCGATAATTTTCAAAATCACGCCAAGGCTGCACCGTATACTAGGATTTTACCAAAATTTTCTCTCTCAGTCTTTCATAAATTTATTGTTATTCCTGGAGAATAAGGGGTTGATCTTTACATTATGGTAACTTGGCGATTTTTTGGCGAAAATTTGGCAACCAACTCTCCTACAGCAACCCTCTATTTTTTTTTCCCCACCGCCATTTTGTCTTCACGAAGTAAAGACATGTTTCTTTTTCTTTTTATCTACTGAACACTTTCCAACAATCTACTAGCCGAATTACACTTATGCTAAAAATTTTATCAAACAAAACTGCTTAATCATGACAAATATTCACTGCAAAATTGGGAAAAAGTGCACAATACCATACTCCTTACGCGTTTTTCAAAATAACACATACACATAAACCATGTACATGCCGACTTATTTTTACTTAAAAAAACATCCCAGAATTGCACAAAAATGGCATTGCGCACACTCTTCACTATATTCATGTACACTGCTTTTTTCTCATAAATTAGAAAAATTTCACGAAAATACATGACAATTTTCTCAATCTTTAAACCCGGTAAAAAGAACATATATGAAATTACCTGATCGCGAAAAAGTATTTACCCTTTCCAAATATGAACATTTCCACATATAAAATAAATAAAATATCCAAAAACTTTTATTTCTAAATCATCTATTATATTATAAACGTCACCAACGAATTCATACCGCAACCATTACAAATACTTAGTGTCAGATATTTAAATTATTTCCATGCACGTTTACTTCAACTAAAACGTATACCAAATTCCTACAAACATAAAATTCACAAAATAACTATCATTTCATTAAAATATAATTAAATTCAAAAACACTACTTAGAATATAAATGAGCACATACATTAAATTAATAAAAATTACCTTACATTCCTAATTACTTTAAACTAAATCATTGCTAATAACAATTTTCCCAATAATACCAAATTCCTTTCCAGCTTACATTTAGAACAATGCATAAAAATAATATCCTCAAATAATTAAAAATTACTAACTTACCTAATCTTCTTCAGAATCTTAATTACGTGGCGGATACACTTTTCTAATTCAATCAATAAATTATTGAAAGATTTTTCTGCGAATTTTTCCTCCATACTTCCTCCGCTAAATAAAAAGCAAACTTCTCTTTATCACAATGCCTAAATACCCATTTCGAATTCACTTTAGTTAGGGCCAGGGATCCAAAAATTAACCAACACTGTTTCACACAACACAGAATAAAGCTAAATACAAAATTTCCAGATTTTCTCCCGATTTCCCCCCTTTTCCGATTAAAGAACCGTAATTTGTCCATTAATATCACATGACATATCCCATGATCTCTCATTTCCCTCACGCAAAATAATGCGTAATCGGAGCTGAGTTCTGCTCACATTATTACCAAAGTCCCAGGTAGTAACCTTTATCGCCTCCAAAATGTCGCCAAACTACCAGTTACCATATTGTAAAGATCAACCGAATAAGGTTTTAACATGTAGGTGGAGTTGTTTCTTTAATTTTAAAAGGCTGAATTTCCATCCTAGTATTTCTGAGCGAAAGACAGGACTGCATTCAGAAATTCGAATTGATTTTTAAGATATACTTATTACTAAAAAAAGAGTTTTATCATGAAATCGTGCTTCAGTTTCATAAAAGGAGCACTGAAGTACTTCTTATTTGGGCATCAGCTAGAATTATCTCCCAGACTAAGAAGTACTGGAGCTGAGCTCCAGCACAGTTTAAGCTGTGTGTTTGTGTTTATTTTTTATTAAGTTGATTTGTAGTATTAATAACAATTTCTTTTTTATCATTTATATTGTAATGTCTGTTTTAATGGTAGAAGTCCCTTTACACTGTCAAGAAGTTCATCTGAAGAGAGGTAACTCAAGTACGTGTATTTGAAAGGAAATTTAAGCTGACATTGATCATTTTAAGCATATGGGATAGGAAGTTTAGTCAGTAACACATTTTAAAAGTTACTATATGTTATATTATTGAATATGAATTTTAGAACCAATGTGAAAAATGTGATTTTTAATTATAAGTTCTTACAGAATCCAAATTTAGGACATTCTTTGATCAAATTAGTTATCAAGATGCTGCTAGAGTCTAGTATTTAATCGCTATTCTTGCATTTGTATGTAACAAGTTTAATCTGTAATTTAAAGTTTTTATATTCTTTGTGTTGTAGTTTTTTTAATCTGCAGGTGTAGTATTTTCATGAAATATTTAAATAAGGAGTATGTTCCATAATACAAAAGTGCTGAAAATTATTTGATTCTGTTTTGCATCTTACTGCTACTTATTCATTCACCTTCCATTCTTGGATTATTTAATTTTATTTTATTTATCATTAATGCAGTTTATTGCTGTTTATTTTTAATCATTATTTATTACAGAATTTTTCCTCACTTAGAAAGCCTTATATTGGACTATAGACTTTGAATTAAAAAAAAAATAGTCTCTTACAAAATAAACTATTTTTTTGTTTTGTCAGAAATAGAGATCACAATCACAAGCTAGAATATGTAACTGCATTTACATTTTTAATTGCATAAATGTTAACTCATATGGTTGAAAAATTCTATTAAATAATCACAGGATTAAATTAAATTTACATTATATATTAAACTAATTTCACAAGTTTATTTACAGCTTTTCAAGAGATACAGAACAACTACTTTAGCAGAAGCTAAAATAAGAATATGCAGAACGAGGGAAAACTATGCTTGGGAGAACCCAGGCCTTGCACATATAGTGTTTCAGATGCCATTTAGGCATGTTAACCACAATGCTAACTCCCAATGAGTAGTGAACACCTTCATATTGTAAAGTTAGTCCTAAAACTGTAAATCAAGGTTATAGATGTCGATAAATAAAGAGTGTAATGAGAAAACAAAAGTATTCTTTTAACTAAGGTGTCAAGGAAGCTACTTGTAAACTTGAGCTAAAATGGAGGGTGAATTCGACAGAATTATTACTTTTGTAGTTTTAAGTAAAGTTACATTGATCTGTTTCTTCTTGTACATGTTTAAAAACTCTAGATTTTAACTTTCTAAAGCCGGAGGTATAGCAGTTGTAACCAGGAAAAGAACGTTCTTTAATGCTGGCTGTGGTATAACTGTCGTACCAGCCATCCCCTTCCTATTTTAGAGAATCGCCTATCTGTAGATCTCTGGGTGGTCAATTGTCGCTCTCAGAATAGCCGCTGGCTACGCATTGTTTCCCTCTTCTTTTCAGTTTGGCTGCATTCTGGCAAAAACCGCTGGTTTCGTCTCGTGCCAATATACTTGAAAATCAAATAGAAGCCATCTCCTTCTCAAACGTTAGAGCACTGTCTCATAATTTTAGTGCTAACTTTTTTAGTACTAACTTTTGCTATGATTAAAATGTCAGCGATTTTTGTACGCTGTTCAAGCTTACCATATTTAATGCTTTTTAATCATAGCAAATAAGATTAGATTAATATTTTAGATTTAATACCCTTCTAGAAAATAGCTGAAACTGCTTTTATCATTTACTTCCTTTTTGACCTTTTTTTTTTGGAGTGCATAAAACTCTTAAAAACTGTTAACTCTTTCAAAGTGCTTCTATTATGTAGGCAATTTTGTCTGATTTATTAGGAGATAAATAAGAGACAATTGCATGCATAATAATTTTTGTGATTTCTCATTCATTCAATGATTTCATTCAATGATTGCTTTGAATGATTTTCATTCATTGTAAATTAAATAAAACCAATTTATCTTTAGACCCTCTTTCAGGATGGCATCTGCCAAAAAGTATTTAAATATCACTAAAGCTCATGTGACTTCTACTAAATGGAATCAAAACATCAGTTACTTTGTATAATATTTCGGCCAGTTTTATTTGCTGAAATTCTTGTACTCCTCAAGAGATAAAGGGAATTAAGACAAGTTAATAAAAATTTTATCTTTAAAAAAGAATGTTATTTTGTCTGTAATAAGGTGTATGTCAACTTACTATTAAATGTATGAGAATTA